AAAAATGGCCTGAAAAAATAATGATTTATTTTTATTTTTCTTTTGTCTTGGAATTTGTATTTGAAAAGAAAAAGGGGACCCTAAGCTTGACCTTCTAAAATTTTTCCCTGTTAGAAGAAAAACAAAAAGGAATTCAAACTTGAAACACGAAATTTTTAAGGTACAAAAAAAAAAAAAGAGCAAAAATATCAGCAGAATGTAAGAAGTAGACGATGAAAGCATAAGCTGATAGCTAAGACGATGAAAGCATAAGCTGAGAGCTAGGTCCGCATGAAGCAAATTTCCATTAGAGCAAACCCCCCTTTTTTCGTTTTTTTTTTTTTTAAGAATGAAGAAGTATAAATATAAATAAAAATAAAATGGTAGCAGGAGGTGCAAAGTGGTACGAACAGTTAGGAGAGGGCCAAACCAGAAGTACGAGCCTTATACGGACGTGGGTGAACAACAAAGCCTAGCGCACTGATTCAATCCTTGAGATGCCTCAAGAACTAAATTTTAAAAAAAAACAAAAACAAAAAAAATGGAAAACAACGAAATAAAATTTATATTTTGTGCTCGGATCTAGCTTGAAATGCTCCATGAACTGTTTACGATGCAGATCAGAGGGATCTCCGTAGGAAGATCCCTCATATCTGAACACCACAAACTGATTTTAAAAGTGTACGATAGAGAGTGGTACAATCAAATTCTAATATAAGGCCAGATCTATTAAAAAACAAATAGATATGTTCTCAGATCAATGGTAGAGCCAGCATCAATCTAAAAAGCACGAAATACAATATAAAATGCAACAAAACATATTTAATTCTAATATAAATAAATAAATACATAAAAGAAATACGTAAAGAATAAAATAAAATAAAAAATATCAAACCGGGCCAGTTGGTCTGGCACTCTCGAGGCTTCGAGGCCTCGCCCATATCAGGACGAATGAGTTTATGCCATACGTTATCTTTGTTTCTCTTCAGATTTTGACTAGGCCTTGGTTTGGTTGGTTGGATCTCTTAATCTAAGGGTTGTAGCCTAAAGCTTCGGTTTTTCTAAATCTAGGGTTTGCTCATAAACGTCCCACCTTTAAAAGATGCAAGTTAGTGTTTTTTATAGACTCAAAGGGGTGTAAAATAGATAACTACTAAAAACATGAATGTATAATGGAGAAATATTAAGATTTACTAGGTGTAGAATGGATAACTCTTAAAAACATGGGTGTAAAATGAATCACTACTAAAAACTATAAGATTTACTAGATACTAGATCATAAAATAGGGACCATGGATTATGGTGGTATATGGTTTAGGGGTCTACTGAAATAGTGTAGCCCTATGGGTTCAGAAAATCTATAGAATTTGTCGGTTTTAAAATGGAGTGTCTACGCACACTCTCTTCCAAACCTATTTCACTCTCTCTCTTTCTTCCAAACCGGATTTTTCTCTTGGAAAGCCCAACTCTCTCTCTCTCTTTCCCTCCAACTGCGAAAGCCCAACTCTCTCTCTCTCCCTCTCTTCCTATTTCTCTTCCCCGACTAAACTCTATTTCTCTTCCAAGCTGGATCTTTGGTTTTAGAGTTCCGCATCGATGACAAATTTTGATATTTTTTGGTGGATTTTATGAGCCATGGTATCTGGTTTGAATTTTCCCTAGCTAGTTGGAAGATCAGCAAAAATGGCAAGTTTTTCTTTGATTTTCGTACTTTCTTTTTTTGCATCTTGATGCTTGGTGGAAGATCAGCAAAAATGGCAAGCTTTTATTTAGTTTTTGTGACATTTTTTTTCTCATCTTGATGCTCGGTGGAAGATCAGCATAAATGACAAGTTTTTATTTGATTTTTGTGCTTTTTTTTTTTGCATCTTGGTGGAAGTTTAGCAACAATGGCAAGTTTTTCTTTGATCTTTGGTTTTAGAGTTTCACATTTACAAATTTTGATATTTTTTGAGCCTTGCATTGCTAGCTGGTTGGAAGATCAACAAAAATGGCAAGTTTTTATTTGATTTTTGCCACTTTTTTTTTTACATCTTGATGTTTAGTGGAAGATCAGCAAAAATGACAAGTTTTTATTTGATTTTTGTACTTTCTTTTTTTGCACTTTGGTGGCAGTTCAGCAAAAATGGAAAGTCTTTCTTTGATTTTTGTTTTTTTTTTCTTTTTTGCATTTTAATGGGGTTTTTTAGGAACTTTCTCTCTTTGAAGAAGCTTCATAAGGCCTTAACGAAATTTGGGAGATTTTTTTACAAAATTGTGAATCAAGATCTGCGCATATTATCCTAGGTACGAGTCAAGGTCCCGAGTCCTAATCCATATACCAAATACGGGTTTGGGGCTCTTTGGACCCATCTGGTACGGGTCCGAAGACATGTCTATCAAGCAATATTTGGGTCCAGGTCCAGCCATACATGCACCCAGTCTACTGTCGAGGCTTTTGTTGAAAAAAGCATCATTCATTGTTCGATGTGGTCTAATTTAGTCTCACTCACTTTTGCACGCTTTGACAATCAAATCTTGTATTTTATTTATTAATTTATTTGTATTATAAATTATGTAATGTATTAAGTTTTCTTGTTGTAAATAAAATTTTTTAAATTAGATGATACTATAAGAAATTTTAAATCTGTTCTTATTTGTATAGTAAACTGATTATAAAATTTAAATCAATAATTTCAATTTCAGTATATAATATTATCGTTAATTAGGTTGTGATAATTTTAGATGAGTAAAACAAATTAATAAATGTTTGATATTTCGATGTGATACTATTTTCACTTTCCAAAGGGTATTATTTTTTAATCTTATAATATAAAAGGATTTTTTAATATTTTTTAAATAATTTTGATGCAATATTATCATAATATATTAGAATTAATAATTACACATACATGAAAACATCGTCTTAATATTCATCTAGTTTTACAAAATAATGGAAATACATAATACAGGACTTTTAATTTTGTTTAGAAACCTAAATAACACTATTTTTAAAATTTTATAGTGATTTTTTTTATTTTTTATTTAACCGATTCTCCGGTCCGACACGCCGATCCACCAATTTGACACGATTTTTGAGGTGCCTTAACCAGGTCACCAATTTGCTTTTTTTAACCTTGCAAATTCAAGCCACAATGCTAATTTGGTTCAATGGGACGACCAAATACTTTCATTCAAGGAATTTGAGAACCAATAACTGCTAATAAAAAAGGGTGCGGTTTGTATAGAGCCGAGGCTCTAAACAATCAAATTTGAGCCCACCTTCAAATATAGTTTCAATACTAGAAACTTTTGTAATAGCCTTAACAAATATTTTCATATTAAATTTTAAAATTTAAAGCTTTAAAAATAGTATAGATCAAGCAGATCTATGAAAACTTGAAAATCTTGAAAATTGACGGTCAAAAAATGCGTTACAAGATGTATTATTTTTTAAAATTGAACTGTATTTTTTTCTCATCTTCATGCATCTTGATGTCAAAATGATCAATTTGATGATATTTGGACGTCAAAACAACCACTTCTAGTAAAATTTTGAAGGTAGGCTCTAATTTGGTTGTTTAGAGCCTAGGCTCTATATAAACTTTCCCAATAAAAAAAGGGAAAAGTTTGTATAGACTTGAGGCCCCAAAAAATCAAATTGGAGCCTACCTCAAAATTTTCATTAGAAGAGGTTGTTTTGATGCCCAAATATCTTCAAATTGATCATCTCGACATCAAGATGCATGGACGTGATAAAAAATGGATTTCAAGTTTTGAAAATAATGTATGTTATTATAAATTTTTGGACAGTCAATTTTCAAGATTTTCATAGATTTGTTCGATATATACTATTTTTGAAGCTATAAACTTTATAAATAAAGATAAAAATATATTCCAAAGCTATCACAAAGATTTTCAATATTGAAACCACATTTCTCAATACTATTTGAAGGTAGGCTCTAATTTGATTGTTCAAAGATTTTCAGTATTCACATTTCTCGACAATGTTTGAAGGTAAGCTCTAATTTGATTGTTCAAAGCCTAAACTCTGTACAAACCGCACCCATAAAAAAATTATACTGATAGACAGGAAGGAATCACAATTCTATTTGGCAAGTATCCAAAAGTACATTGATTAGTATGTAAGAAGTGTTGCTATATCATGTAATCTTCCACAAAAATATGTATCTTTAACATCCCCAGGATTAATATACTAGAGGGATTTAGACCACCTCAGAATAAGGCCAGAAGGAACAACTTGATATAATGTCTGTGTGGGTTCTGCCTAGCTGAGACTTGAGACCACAAGAAAAATGTCATTGCCAAGGATCGACAAGGCCAATTCAATTTATTATTATGTTCTGAGCACCGATTGAGAGAGGCAAATTGATTCAAGTGGACAGCTCTAAAAGAACAAAAAAAAGACCCAAAAGAGGATATGAATGGAAGTACAAGAAGATATATGATAACTTATAGTTTTGATTAAAGGCATCATTCTTGATAGAATAAAATGACGGAACAAGAATCATGTAGCCGAGCCCAAATAGTTGAGATAAAACTTGAATGACTATAATGATCTCTTCATATTGCGGTAAATGGCATTTTCTCCATCATCGTCCATTTCAGTAGATGGTGGCAACCATTTGCCCACAGTTTTTCTATGTGAAATGTTCGTGGTATGGAGCTTCAGAAAAAACATGTTAATGAGAAAATCCAGTTATAATTTCTTTCTAGAGAAAATCCATTTATTCAATTTGCAAAAGGCTATTCACTTTGCAGGAACCATCATATTCATCTGCAGTCGTCCTTTTAAATTTATGGGAAGAATACTCAGAGGGGATAAATTCTTCTAAACATTTGGACAATCACTGTGGCAAAAGTAAATATTTGAAACACTTTCGATTCAATCCCAAACAATGGCAGGAGACAAACAAAGCTGAAAACCACTAATGTTCAATCTTGCCTAGAATTGTTTCTTTGTATTAAGCCCTTTCTCAGACACCGTACACCATACCGTAATCAGTTTTCACAAGAAAAAATAAAGTTATTGTTATTTTCACCATTTTCTCAAAAGGACACAATTTTGCTTCCTATGCATAACCCTTGGCCAATTCACCCAAGTACAGATCTCATTCTGCATTTCTATGATCTCAGTCGAGAAATGCACAAATCTATCTCGAATCTTCCATATACCATCACATCCACTTTCACATATCTACGGAACCAACAATAAAATTAATTTTATACAGTTGATCAGTACGACTACCATACCAAAAAGCCAACAAATTGCTTCTTCATGAAAGTAGTGAAACCAATGACACAAATTCAGCAGTCATTCTTCCCTTCGATCTGGTGTTGATCACAAAGTGCTCCGGGTATTTGCGTAAGAGGGTGAGGAGACCAATCCATGGCCTTCCCTTGGCTTCGACTACAGGCCAGTCATCCGATGTAAGGTATCTCCTTACCCTACTGTGATGCCATACCCCACTGTACTGGTCAAGGAGCTGCCAAAAAATAAAGCACAACAATCAGTAAATATAAAAGCTAGGATTTATTTTCTTTTCTTTTTTTTTCTCTGTTAGATACTAGGGTTTCAATAGGTAGATAAAAATGCAATGACTCTAAGAGTGTCCACAAAGTTCTAAATACGTTTATGGCTATGAAAACAGTATAAAACTACAAGTGTTGATGGGATATTAATAGCAATTAATATTGGAAGAAACCAAATATAATTGAAGTAGATAATGGGTCAAGTGGACAGAAAATTCCCAAAGAAAAGAAGACATTGTTGCCCCACGCCATCTATTTTCTTCTTTTTTCATAATTGAGTTTTTCAAAAAAATGCTACCATCTATCAGTGTGTAAGAAAGACGTTAAGGCCGAATAATATGACTTAACTTTGTAGGTAAACCTAAATACTATAGAAAATAAAAAAAATGTAGTCTATGATTATTATGAACAATACAAATATTATGAAGAAAAGAAGACTATAAAGAACACAGAATGCAATTCATCAATGCCTTTCACTGCTCCATAATATCACTACTCATTTTATCCTCTACCCTAAAACAAATAGTTATGCCATCATAATATGACTTAACTTTGTAGGTAAAACTAAATACTATAGAAAAAATAAAAAAAGCGATGGAGTATATGATTATTATGAAGAATACACATTTTATGAACAATACAAATATTATGAAGAAAATAAGACTATAAAGAACACAGAATTTAATTCATCAATGCCCTTCACTGCTCCATAATATCACTACTGATTTTATCCTCTACCCTAAACAAGTAGTTATGCCATCTGATAGATAAACAACACAGATAGAAGATTGAAACTCCACTTAACCATATAAAAGAAAAAAAAAAAAAAACAACACCAACAACTGCAATGAAAATCTTGTAATTGAACAATAACAGTTACCTCCAACTTTCCCAAGCCAATATGTAATAATTTGAATTAAATACATTTATCCCAAATGAATAGAGAGTCAACACTGATGGAAGACAGCTACATCAAAATCTTGAAATTAAATAGTAATCGTAACTCAAAACTCTCCCAAGCCAAAATGAATCAACATAAATTGTGATCTTCAAAGCCATTGCAAAGAAGCCATGAACATGCCCAGCACCCAGTAATACATGGATACTGATGTGAGCATTGGTGTCGCATAGTATCTTGGTTGTCTAGTTCTTCGACTAAAACATCAGATACTGGAAGACACGTCCATATACACACTATATTATGATCGATCATATATTACAGTTGGGAGTTTACGGCCTTCTATAGAGAAGTGCTAAGTTCGAACCCCAGGAACCAAGCTTTTGTTTTGTGATAACGATTTTTCTTATACATATCAGTGTGACTTCCATGGTGCTAGAGCTAACTTCTTTATCACTAGGTAGAAACTTCTTTATATACTACATGTCTAAGGTGTCAACATGTGTTGATCACAACCCAAGGTCAGGGAGGACATATCCAGATAACACTGCTGCACCAATCCTCAGTTAACACAAATGAAGATGGCCTGACTGCTACAGAGACCATGAATATGCTGCATGTGTAATCTAGGGTTTATTTGAAATTTTGAACCAAGGTATCCCAAAGATGCCTCTATCTGATGTCGATTAATCATGCCACATCATATTAGAAGTAAAGCCACGAAAGCTGGTAGGTGCCCGCTAATTTTCTTACCTGTAATGTGGTACTACTAAATACCTCCTCCTCAATGCACCTAAAAATTTCTTTAGCGAAAGTAAACCCTACACAGCCCGTGTAAGATACATGGTAACCCAGGTCATCCAGCGCTTATCCTCACTGGTTCACAGGGGAGATTATAGTTGACCTTGGGCATACCATACCATACACAGGGTGTGAATGGAGCATGCTTTCAAGTATGTGGTAGAACCTCACGGTTTAAAATTAAAAAACTAACACAAGAAGTCATGTTATTAGGAATTTGTAGAGATGCACGTCCTCCAATATGTTGTAACAAAATAGAGATATTAAGTACCAGGAAAAAAAAAATATTAGGAAAAGGTAGTACACATTGATGAGAGCATGTGCGTGGATGCGTTTGTGTGTTTTTCAAAACTCAAACCCAATGGCTATGCATTTATATGTTTTTCAAAACTCAAAACCAATGGCTAAGTTGGTCACAGTTGACTCGCTGTCTCAAATAGTAAACTTCGAAAATCTCAGTGAACTTTTCAAAATTTTATGTTTTTTTTCTTTTTTGTTAAAAGAATGTCTCCGTTATGGGAATCAAACTCAGCTTATCGACCAAACGTATACAAGAACGCTACTAGTTTAGAAGTACCATATGCTCATCATATCAGGAAGAAAAATATCAGGCACATCCCTAGTTTTTCATATATAAAACCCACCCAATGGACGAATCAATTTGACTTTCGGACTAGGAAATGAGCCTTTATTCAATGGATACATATAAGGAGGCTGGACGGGTTTAACACTCAAGACCACTGACATGGCCTCCAGATTCAAATTCAAACAAAACCTTCACAATAGAGGTTTGGTGCACGGATACAGGAGATCAAGTGCGAAGGTGGAGCTCTTGAACAATACAGATATGAATGATATGAAGATTGAAGCTGAAAAGGGAAGTGAAATGGTAGTAAGCACCAAAAACTCAAGCTTCATGGCTTAAAGCAGCGATGAAACACTCGTTTCTGTAACATGATTGGAGGAGCCATGAGAAATAGTCTTCCTAGACAAATGTATCCCTCATTTCCATTTTAAAAAGCACGATAAATATAAAGATCCTGGGTTTGGCATTTTTCCATTCCTGCCCCACCAAGAGAGTGAGATTACAATTAGCTGGTTACAATTGACAAAGCCCTCACTAAAAATCAATTACAACACTGTCCGGGTGCTGGTGCGGGAAGCTGGGATCGGCACTTGGCTAAAGCTCCCTACCCTTGGAGCGCTTTAGGGAGCGACCTAGGAGCGATCTTATATATATGAACTACATGTATATGGAAGCGCAGGACGAGCGCCTTGTAGATATATATATATAGAAAAAGTCTTCCCAACGCCTATAGGCAAAAATGAATAGTGATTTCACCTAAAAATTATCCGCAAAAACAAATTTGACCAAATACGTCAGAAACTTTTCGAGGGTATTTTGGTCAATTTTTTTCATGTAAAATATTATTTTTATATTTTTCGAAGATTCCTCTATTTTTTATGAATATACGCTCCAAATTTCAAGTCATTCCAATTTTTAAAAAAAAATGAAAAATAAAACACTACAGGATAATCGTGACCGCGCGATAAAATTTGGACGATGATGGGAATAGGTGAAATCACTATTCATTTTCGCCGTTGCGTAGTGTTTTCTATATATATATATATATGGGTTATGTTAGGGTGCTCCAACTATAGAGTAATTTATCATTGTACTCAACAAAATTTGGCACATATATACTCTTGTTTTGTATATGGAGCTTTTTTTTTAGTAATGGCATTTTTGGTAATTAGGAGTGTGACATCATTTACATGGGGTGTGACATCACCCACATGAAGCATTAAATGCCACTAGTGTGCTCCATGTGGGTGATGTCACACTCCATGTGGATGACATCACACCCCTCCTAATGATAAAAAAATACCCTTATTAAACAAATACTTCATGTACAAAACAAAGAATTAGAAGTATCCAAAATTATTGAGTACAATGATAAATTACTTCATAGTGTGAGCACCCTAACATAACCCTATATATATACAACTACAATGTCAGCCAATGGCCCAGATTCAATCTGGGCCGATCTGACGATTACAACCTCATTTCATATTTGAATTTTCATTTTTTTTCTACAAATCCAAATCACTTGAAATTTTAGAAGTTCATTCTTTTCATCAAGACGCACCTAATAAAAATAAATAAATAAAAAATTGTAAAATATAAATTGACCAAAATACCCTCAAAAAAAATTTGGGAGTATTTTGGTCAATTTATATTTTGCGAATTATTTTTTTATATTTTTATTAGATTCTCCTATTTTTGAAGAATAGACACTCAAAATTTCACATGAGTTGGATTTGTATAAAACAAAATGAAAATTGAAATACGAAATGAGGTCTTGACCATTAGATTGGTCCCAAAATGAATATGCGACATTAGC